TTTGGGGGCTCCGTGGGGTCATGAGGGGGTGGGGGGTGGGGGCTCCGTGGGTCATTTTGGTCAAAAATGTCGCATTTCACCCAATCACCAAAAACTCATCGGATATCGACGAAGCTCGACGCCGCGGTCACGCCCAAAGTTGTTTCACTTTCCAAATCGTTTTTTTCGAAAGATATGGCGAAAAACAAGATTGTGAATATTTGCCCGAACGGACCATAGTGATGAGGTACCACTACAATGTATCGCTGGTTGGTGGCCATTTTTGCGTGTTTGCTTGTTCGTTAGTGATCTCTCCACCAATGTGCCTTTTTATGTCTCTTATTTCTTGTTATTTTCGGCCTGGTCCCTTTTTGCCCTCGCTCTTTTTCGTTCATTTTCGTTTTCTTTTCTCTTTCCTTCCTGTTTCCTTTTTTTGTTTCCTCTTTTTCTCTCTTTTTCTCTCTTTGTTGTCTCTTTTTTCACTGTCAGATGGCCTTGTCTCTGCTTGCGTTGTGAAGTACCAAGATTGATCCAAGGGGGTATACCGCTTTCTCTCTGGCCCGTGATGCTGACTCCTTGTCTCAGTTGTTACCTCGCATAGCGCGCAGAGGGAGCGGAATACTCCAGAATGTCTGTCGTTGATTTCTACTGACTTGCAGATCCCTCGGGGCCAGTTAATTTGAGTGTGCCTGTGACCACGGAAATCGACCGCGTCAAGTGTTGGATCAGTGCGGACATATGAAGAAACTGGGTGGAGAGAGATCGGAACGGATTTTAATGTGAAGACAACAGCAACAACAACAACAACAACAACAACAACAACACAGAGGAGGCGGCATCATGAGGTATTTGTGCTTGGTATGGATTGGCAGGATACAAGTAGAAGAATAACCATAGGGACATGCGTGCATGGCAAGAGTGTGCCGGGGTCTCAATATATATGTCAGTAGTCTACGGTACATAGTCTACCTCTGTGGGCTACATGGCTTTTGTTCATGCTGTGTCCTGCCGATCCCAACATCATCACTAAAACTTCGTCATCGTAACACGTCCGTACCCAAGCCTACAGCAGTGGAGCAAAGCGAGTCTCGAAGAACGGAGCGTCGATAACCGAAAAGCCTCAAGCACGAAGCGAATGCGGCTGAACACTGACAGCAGTACATTTATTCGTAAAGCAGTATCTACACAGCAGTAGCAGATCGTGTACCAACGCACCCCCACGTTCTCTGACACACCCACCCGCAGTTAGAGTCTAGTTTTGTACCTGCGGTCACCTCACAACAACCAGCGAAGCATCTCTTCGTTGCGCGAAAAAAAAGGAACTGCCCGAGGCTACGAGGCTACGCGTCAATTGTGCTCCGCGCGTGGTAATACTACTGTTGCAGAAGCTGAAAAGACTTCAGCACATTCATGTGTGTAGACTATACACATCTCGAACGCGTTAGATACCCGCGGGTACAGATATCTCTCCTTTTTTTTTCTAGTTGGGCCGCATTTTTGTTTTGTGGGACCCCGAAAAAACTCTGTTGCGAACTCTCTCTCGGATGCACACACACACCCCGTCCTCGCATAAAACCTCCGGTTGACCACACACAGCACACAACTGAGCGTGAGCACGGAGATCAACAAAAACAACCGCGCCTCTCGCTCTCGCCATTGCTTCCGCCCTCCCCTCCGCCGCGTTCGTAGTTAGTAGGCCTCGTCCCCCAACACCAACAACGACAAGATGGTGTACAACCCGCCGGTGGAGCGTGGAGAGGATGGCGAGCCGATCAAGGACGGAATAGTCGCGCTCACGCACCCCGTTAACCCGATGCGCCGCGGCGCGTACGTCGAGCAGGCGACGAGGGCGACGGGATGGGCCGCCATGTATATCCTGGGCTGGCTCCTGATGAGGCTCTCGTGCTACGCCGGGCTACCCGGGGACTGCAACCTTCCCGACGAGCCACTTGAAGTCCTGACGGTGCTGCTGGTCTTGCTGGTGTTCTCCTTGGCACAGGTGAGCAAGCTATACACAGCAGGATTAGATTCGTTTCAAAAGTAGCATCACCAACCGCAGCGAAGTGCCTGCCAAAAGCGCACGTACTGCCCCCCGTCTGCGTCCGTAGTAGTGGTATTTTATGCGCATGTGTTCTTCTGGTGAGCGCGGCGCGGCGGCGGCGGCGGTGGCGGCGGGCAAAGTTTGTAGACCTCCCCGAATGTTCTTAGATGGTAGTTTTTGGGAAGCACTGATTCCGCACCCTGTGTTACGGGCGGGGGTGGTGACCGCCCGTAATTGGCAACCAAGCTGTGATAACATAGCAGAAAGCACACACAACAAGGAGCTGTTTCGTATGGCATGTCCGCTGCTTGAACTCCACCATAGCACGACGCCCGCCGTATCCACGCAAGTCACCCCGACCTTTTTACAGCGGGTACCGTTCGGGATGAAAACGGTTGCATACCTACCTACCAAACATCCCCAGCAGAGGGGAAGTCGTCTCGTTTTTGTTGTCGTCAGCAGCTCCGCCACGACTCATGCCTCGCTGTATGTAGCGGGCGAGCTTGTCGTCGTCACAACCACCCTCTTGTCAATGCTGTGTTGCGCTCTTGCTTAACAGGCTTTCGTGCAACCCACCTACTACACACCCGCGTCATTTTGTCTACTTCATGCATAGTCTATGGATACCCAGATGGTAGATTTGTAAAACGAACGCACACAAACACATCCGGTTGTCGTATCCGGTGGTGCAGCCCCAAATTGTTGCAAGCCGTCAGTGGTCCGCGTTGGGGAGGGAGCATTGTGTGCCCGGCGATGGCATTACTACGGCGGGTGCGCCGTAGCTTAGCCGCTTGCCCCCTGTTGGTACAGAAGCGGGACGCGTTTCAGTAGTTGCCTGACAGGAAGAGGGAAAATAACTTGTCCTGGGTTAGATAATTAGGTGGCGAATGTATGTAAACCGCCCCGCGTCGGGAAGCGGCGGCAGAACATGTGAAAAAAGACAACCCATCGGCATCGCCCACCAGGAAGTGTTGTCACTTTGCTCTGCATGTAGTGCGTATTCTAGCCCACTCTCAACGACGTGCCAGTTTGGACAACACGAGCATCAGGGTTCGACGTGACATTTTACCGCGGACATGTGCATGCATGAATGTATGGATGTAGCATACTGCTGCTTCTTTGTTGTCGAGAATATATGCATGCATCCATGCTTTCCACACCAGATGTAGTCTCCCTGTGGTATAAAGAACAAGTAAGGCACGATGCGAGTGCCTTGTGGTGCGCATCACGGAAAAGTGTTTTTTTTCAAGTATGTTTGCTACACGTACTTCCAAGTACATTGTGTACAGCAGTCACTGAAAGACTAACCCGTTTCGAGATAGTGCTGCTGCTGTATAATACCGCAGCAGTCGAGAAAGCGGTTGTGTTTCAAGTTTTGTCACAGACTACGAAGGCAGCAGTCCACACAGCAGGCCGTTGGTGTTTAGTGTTCTCCTCCCGATGTTGTGTTGCTAGCTAATGTCATCGAAGACAGCTCAAAACACTCCCACCAATTTCCCTGATTCGGTGAGAGACGTGCTCATACAAGAGTTCCCTTTGGTGTAAATGCACCAGCGTCGTAAACCTATCGAGGTTGAAGGAAAAGCTGCAATAGCTTTTTATTACCTTGTTTTATCGACATCACCTGAAACGATCGGTGCGCGCTCGGCAGGCACACCACGTCACACGCAACCTCCACCCCACCACTGGCTAGTGTCTCCCGCCCTCCCCACCCGTGACAGCAGCAATCGTGGCGACACAACGTAGCCGTAGTTGTGTTGTCGGCGGTGGTGGGCCTTGGGCACCCATTGCAGGTCGAAGAAAGTGTCTTGTTGTATCCGCTTATGCGGGCACGACGTCTTGACCCGGCATCAGAGCATCAACCTTCTCAGATATCATTCACGGATGGAAATTCTTTTCCCATGTTTTGTAAATATTTATTGCGTCGCCGGTGGGGGCAAGTCACCAAGTTTCCGAAGGGGAGTCTTGCATGTGCCAAGGATGGAATATGGGCATTCCCATGAAAGGTATTCCCCCCTCCCCCCCGAATTTCGATTACCATGGAGTAAATAGATTCAAGTCGTTGTGTGTGCCATGGATAGAATGTATTTTCCATGGAAGTCATATGTACCATGGATGGAATGTACACCCCCATGCATCACTCCCAGGTCCCCCGAACTTGGATGGCGACCCAGCGAGGTAGATCGTAGAGAAGGGTTAATGTTCTCAGGCTCAAGCTTACCTCCTTCCACACTCTCAAGACGTGTTCCTTCCACCCCCGCCGTTAATTTACGGAGCTCCGGGAATTGAATGGTTTTGATGTGGGAACAAAGGAAGTTCCACAGAAAGATTTCTCTACGGCGGCTGCGTTGCTTTGATTTCTGGCTGCGATTCTTAGATTCCGGGTTTTCTGTCGCTTCTTGTTTGACCGCTGCTGACCCATTCCTTCTGTGATGGAATACCCGTCAAAAGTTTGGCGTCGCGTTGCTGCCTTCTGCTTCCCTGTGTGTTTCATTTGACCCCTGCTGCCCGACTCCTGCTGTGATGCCTGTGTGTGCCTTTTGTGTGCCTGTGCCCGACTCGGTTGGCCTCGCGGACCCCTTTGGCTCCTTCCAGGCGTGGTTCTGCGAGATTATGGAGGAAAGAAGGTTCCGAGATCTGACTTCCAAGGTCTACTTCCCCATCTTCTTGGTCGGAGCGTGAGTGGACACAGCAGTGGTTAGCATGCTTTCCGTCCGAAGTGCCGCCTTCTCGAATTTAAACAAAGGACCCACTCCTCTCTTGGTCGTCGGATAGTGGATGGGAAACACGTAACATGCAAGTTTTCACCGCCATCTCAAAAACGCAAAGCAAGGGACAAAGAGTGTTTTGTCGAGCGCCGCGCTTTATATATGTAGTCAGGGAGAGAGCAGATTGACGATGGAGATAACAGATTGATGACACCTACGGTTTGCTTAGAGCACGCGCACTGTACTTATTTTGCCGGACCTATGCCCAGCCTGGCATAAAATCACCCACCCCGACGCACACCCCTGCCATTTTCGTTGCTGCAAATGGGAGATGCTGGCAACCTCGTCGCCTTGAGAGAAAAAGCTTTTCTTGCGAAAAAAATAAATGCGCGTCTTCTGTGTGGACTGGACTGTTCCTCGTGTGCGTGTACTGCACGTTGAACTGTTCCTATGCCAACCCTCTCTCTGTGGCCCCTGTCTCCCCTTTTCTGTCGCGACGGGGGGTAACTCCTTCCATCTTTCCGATCACAGGGCCCTTGCTCTGTCGGGGCTCTCGCGGGCAGAGTCCCTCCGCAACTCCCTGCAGGAGGAGAGGAGAGACCTGTCAACCTTCCAAGTGACGATCTTCATCATCCTCCTCATCATCACGGTGGTCGTCTTGCTGCTGCACTTCGCCGAGGCGTGGAAGGTCCTCCCGGGCGCTCACCTCATCTCCGGCATCGGGGTGCCCCGTGTGGAGGTGCGTATGGGGAAGGGGGGGGGGGGGGCAAAAGGAAAGGGCAT